TAGAATAGACAGCTAAATAGAGGTAAGGAGAAACTGACTAAGATTTCTAAGTTCTTCGTGGCTGCACAAAGTAGATAGACTGGAAAATGTTAAGGACGAAACTTGTAAAAGAGTTATAACGCTGAACATTTTTACTTTTTACTTTTTTTTTTAAGTTACGTCCATTTAAACGATACGAGTCGACTGAGGAAAAATGAGTGAGATATTTAAAGGAAAAAAAAAGAGAGAGAAAATTTATGATTTTTTTCTTTTATTTCTCTTCTCCTTTTTCTTACTTTTTTTTTTCTTCTGCGCCATATTTCTCTTAAGCGATGGAATTGCGAGCCTGGAATTCATGATAAAAATTTTAATCAATGTCACGGTACATTTGCGTTACTGAATCATACCTTTCCGAACTACGCGTGACTCATATTCCAATCGCTTGAATCAACCTTTCATGACTCACTATCCTGCGTTTGTCGTATCGAAAAATGACCTTTATTTGCTGAGTCACTCGATGTCGATACTGTGTTGTCATTTTCAACCACCGAGTCATTTTCTTTATAACCTGTCTTTGCTTCATTATTCCATTTATCTTTTTTTTTTTTTTTTTTTAGCTATCTGAGTCGTTTTCTTTCATTTTAATTATTCTCTATGACTCACGACCAGGCGAAAGACTTTTTTTGAGTCGATCTTTTTAATATGGATACTTTACTCATGATCAGCCGGTGAGGCACTTTTATTCTCACTGTCTTTACCTCGTTAGTCCATTTTTCCAGTCACTCTCTATGACTCACTAACCTGCGTCTGTCATTCGAAGAAAATGACCTTTCTTTCTGAGTCATTCGTGTCAATATCGTTTTTATTTTCTGCTTTTTCCTTTTCACTTTCTCCATGACTAAGACCATGCGAAATGTAACCTTTGTTTCGGAGCCATTCTCTATGACTCACCGAAGTCCGTCTCATCGAAGAAATAGATAGATAAATAGATAGGTAGATAGATAGATAGATAGATAGATAGAGAGAGAGAGAGAGAGAGAGAGAGAGATTTCTGAATCACTCTCTCGATATCGTTCTCATTTCCTACCGTCGAGTCATATTCATTTTTTTTTAATTTACTTGACTAGTCCTCGAGCCTCATCTGATATGCGTTTATTGCGAGTCGCGTCGTTCGATTTCACGTTGACTCGTTTTACCCTTCGTCCGAATGAGTGGCTGATGACTTCGGTCGTTCGTCGGTATATCCTTTTCGCTAACTTCGGACGTTGATACATATTTAGTAAATTTACAACAAAGGACTTTTTTTTTGTGAATCCTTAATTAGTAATTTTATCCACTATATCACTTAGGCGTCTTTATCAGAAGAGATTAAAGTGCGAAGAAAAAGGAAATTTGTGGCATAAAGGTAATCGGATAATCCCAGTGGCTATAACAACCATGATAACTTGATGATGATAATAATAAGTTTGATTATTCAGTCTTAGTAATAGGGTTCATCTTTTAATTAGCTGATTATTCTAACGGTGATCATGATAATTGAATAATTCGATATTCATAATAATTTAATCTTTTCAAGGTAACACCGTAATAGATTTTATTTCGTTTATTTATCTATTTTTTCTTCTTCTTCTTTTCCTTTTATGGTTGATTTTCGTCATCTTCTTTGCCATCTCCTTTATCTATTTTTTCTTCTAATTTTCCTTCATTTATTTCTTAATTTCTTCTCCGTCTCTTTTTCTTCTTCTTCTTCTTCTTCTTTTCCCAATACTCTTCGTCAACACTCATTCATTCATCTCCTTTTTTTCTCATTATTATTCTTTTTATTTTATTTCTTCATCATCATCTTCATCGCCACCAACGCCATCATCTTTTTTTTTTCTTTTTAATTTTCTCACTCTTTTCTTCTCTTCGATTAATGTCTCGATATAATTTCTTGGCGACAGAAATAGTTAACAGTCGTCCTGTTCGAAATTATTTCATATTCATTCGTATAATAGTTCATTTGGATTCAGCATTTCCATTCTTTCGTTTTTTCAAAAGACTTTTCAAAATGTCTATATTTCTATATTCGAAATTAGCATTGTGTATAAGTGTGTGCATAAGTGTACACGTGTTTACTGCTAAGTAGGTGGATAGGTAGATAGAGAGATTGGTAGATATATGGATAGATGGATAGATAGATAGATAGATAGATAGTGATAGAGAGAGAGGGATTTATAGTCGGAGGTGGAAATGCTTTATTTTATTTTCATATAATAAATTTGATGATACAAATTTGATATTTAATTTACGTGAAATAATGTTTAGCTATAAAATCACATGACGGTGACAGTGAAAAATAAGTGCACGCACACACACACACGCACGTGCACACACACACACACACACAAACACACACACACACACACACATACACACACACACACACACACACACACACACACACACACACACACACACACACACACACACACATACACACGTACACACACACACACACACACACACACACACACACACA